CAGCAGCACATCGGTTCACACTTCAGAAAAAAGACAACCAGTGATGGCAAGGAATTGAAAATTATAAACTCTGAGTAGGAAAAATGATGAGAGAACACCATGGCTCCTCCCCCCCCCTTCCCCGGACGACATTTTACAATGTCTCTACCAAGTGAAACACCCTTCACCCTGGAAGGGCTGCGACCACTGTGACCTCCTTTACCCTGGAGGAGTCATTCTTACCTTATCGCACTTGGATGGGGGGGGGGGGGCATTACTGAAGGGGAGGCAGTGCCGACTTGTGGTCATCATGCCTCTTCGCTATTCCAAAGCGTTTTTCTCGCTTTCAAAGCAACATACTGTGAGTTGGGCATTGATTGGATAGGGGTCGTGCTATCCTGAGCTGCCAGAAGCTCATGACCTCTAATTTAAGATGGACGGTTTCTTTGAAGGTAGCCTTTGATTTGACTGAATTGGCGTTGTGACCTGGTTAAGGCCAGAGGATGATCAAAGAGCACTTTCGCTAGACAGACGAAAATTGCTTCGCGGGCGCGAACGGTCGTCTTCCAGCCGCCAATCAAGGAGTAATTACTCGGAAAAATTGCGACTGCGAACTTTTCAATTCTATTGGCCACCTGGATCCGCTGGGTCTAGGACTATGCTTGGAAAGTCAAAGAGTGCTTTTTTGACCATTTCCGACCTTGGAGACTGCTGAGGGACTGAGCGAGCGATTCTAGCCAAAACCGGCGACTGGCTGCAGGGGGCTGTAACTCTACCCATTTTGGCGGTTGGCTGATCGGTTCAGGCAGCCAATCGCGACAGTTCGCGAACGCTGACTCATCCCCTCCAGCAATCTTTAAAGCCGGAAAACGCCATGAAAGGCACTTTTTGACTTTTCAAGAGCACAGCCCTAGACTCAGCGCAACCAGAAGGCCAGGGGGGGGATGAAAAGCTCGCAATTGCAGAAACAGCGGCGGTTGAAATTTTGGCAACACTTCTAACGGGAGAGATTACTCGGTGGCCGTGTTGTTTTTAGAACAGAACCATCTTAGAGCACATCAAACGCTGATTCCGAATCTTCTTCCTTATCTGCGGAACTCTCCGGACAAGGAATTATGAGAGGTTCTGTAGCGCAAACACGAATGCGCATTTGAAGAAGATTATTACTAGAAGTTTCTTGTGAGCATCAGTGGAACACTGATGATTGTTAAACATCTTTACGAAGGGTGTTGATTGACAAACATCTTTATCTTTATCTTCGAAAATCGCTCCTTTTCTTCTTTTCTTTAGCATTAGCAATGAGCTCAAAGCCTCTTCTTGCTACATTGTAGATTTGGAGCCAAAAACTCCACCCCTTTGGTAACTATAGCTCTGAAAAGAGGGCTATTCAGATCCAAACTTGTCGTGAAGTTGCGTGTGCTCATAATCGTGCAATCGCAGAAAGTCGGGCCTACAGACTTCCAAAGAAAGGGGTACTTCCAGTAAAGGCTGATTTTCCTTAAAACGTCACAGCTTGAGGTCCAGGAGGTAAAGGGCAAGAGTTATTTTTGAAGGACTTGTGCCTGATCCCTTGCGTTCAATAAACGATTAGATTTGCCCAAAACAAACAAGTGGCTCATTTTCTATCATCTAAGAGGTGAAAAGAATCAACCAGCTAGTTGAAGCTATGATTTATAGGATCTGGTGAACTTGCGTGGGGAAATTGTTGAAGAGGAAGATATTTTTGAATCATTGCTAAAAACGACAAAAATGTTCTGATAAACGTTTTTGATTGTTTTGCTTTTATAAAAAGCGCTGCGCACCTTGAGAGTAAAGTGTTTCATTCCTGACATGTGATAGGGAAACAATCCTCTGAGATCTGCGAAAAAATCAATCAAACCAAGGATGTATTTAGTGGAAACATTTTGGCAAAATGGGTCCGGTTAACGGAGAAATAAGTGGCATAAGTTCCAGCCAGCCATTTCTTAATATGTGGGAATGTCCTACCGAAGATAGACTTGTTCAAAAGGGGCTCAAAGTTTTCCGATTATTCCATTTGTCTTTCCATTTGAAAATGCAGAAACCAGCCCTAAATGGGCACGATACCAACAAAATCAGTGATGAATGAGAATAACTCATGAGAGCTTGAAAGATTTTGACTTTTCTGCGCGTCGATACATTCTGGTTTGAAGACGGAGAAGGCACATCCACTTTTTCTGCACTTGGACGGTTTCCATCAGTTACTGCAAAGGTCAGCAGAAAGGAAATATGGTTTTCTAAAAACCTTTCCTTTTTCGATGTCTAAATGTTCTTAGACGTCCAAAGAAGTAACAGGTCTTGTTGAAAAGATAGGTAATTTGGATGGGGAAAACTGCCGCCATACTTTGTAACCTAATGAGATGACAGGATCACCACTATTGCTGCTGCGGAATCAAGCAAAATCAGTGGTTAAAAGGATTAAAAATCAATGGCTTGAGACTCTCGGATAAAGCTGAAAGGTTTTTGATATTATAACAGCAGCAGACTAAATTGCCTCTTTTTTTCACGGCCGTAAATCTTATAATATTCTCAAAATATGCAGCTACTAGGTACAAGCAGGCCATTTATTTTCTTTTATCCGCTGCTCTGTCGGCAAGAAAACCAATGAAGAGCATATTTGCTAAATAAAGGTCTTCCTCAATGAAAGAACTTTGCTATTCAAGAAGGATCAAGGATCGGAATCTTCTTATATATAAAGCTGAATGTGTGTGTCTGTCTGTCTGTCTGCGTGTACGTATGTGCGGAATAGAAATTTTTATTTTTGAACCGATCCGGACTAAACTTGGCACACATATACTTCGGGGCAGGGAGCGTGTCATAGGCTACTTTTCGTTATCGATCGATATCGATTTTATCGATTTTTATCGATTTTTTTGCAAAGTTCACCTAGGGCTGGGATTTGGCACAGGGGTAAGTGGGCATGGCGATCCCGAATACAATATTAGTTTTCAGGATTATCGATTACTTTTATCGGTTTTATCGATTTTTTGCAAAGTTTGAGCTACAGGACTGGGAGTTGGAACAGGGGAGTAAGTGGGCATGCTGATTTCGAAAACAGCACAGGGAACGGAAATGAAGTGTAGAAGTGGGCACAGGAAAAGGCTTTACAGGGATAGGGGTGGGAACTTTATTGCAGTGTGCCGAGCGGAGCCGGGTAAGCAAGCTAGTAAACCATAAAGAAATTTGCAGGACGAAAACTTGTTTGATGAGGAACGAGTCGGTTACTCATACATAGACTACACAATACATTATGCTACCCTGATGAATTTCTGCAAAAGACCATTTTGATCTTTCAGGTAAGAATATTAACCTATTTGAACTTTCTCGAAAACACATTTTCATTCATGTAATTCTTTCAGAGTTCAGCAACATTTTATCAGCATTTTCTGGAAAGTTCTGCAACATATTCGTCGAATTCGTCCCCTTTGGTGCTTCAGATGTCGATTGAAGTGCATTCGAGCGGAAAAGAAGTTTCTGTTTTGAAACGGGTTTCAATGGCGCTCTTTTTGCTCTTTTCACGATGACCTTGGCGTTAGTAGACAATTGATGCAGACGAATGACCCACGCCCCTATATAAATGCTAAGTTCAGAATAAGATGAAGCATGCCTACTACCAGGTCTACTCAAACGTTTGTTGTACATCAGCATTTTCATTACGGCTTTCAAAAACTTATTTTTCCTTTTGTTGTTATGGCAGAACGTCTTTATCAGTCTAGCTAGGGCTTTTCCGTCACTCGAGCACGATGTAAAACGCGCAAAGTAAACCCCTATTTGTTTTTGTTTTCACGCAAGGGTATTACTGTAGTGTACATTTTACTTGTTGCACCTGCTTTGGACTGTGACCATGCAACAATGTAAGAATTTCTAATTTCTTTGGAGATCTACAATCCTGTGAATTTTTCGTTTAATATAGTGTGCTTTTTGTGCTGAGAAATTTCGGTAAAAATTGCGCAACAGTGGCCGTGTTTGTAACTCCGGTCGATTAGGTATCGTCGATTCGTTGACCGCACGGAATAGACATCACTGCGGAGCATGCGCCGCGAGTTGAAACGATTGCCACAGTACAAATTCACCATTGTACAATCGTGCTCTCGCAAAATTTTAGCCGCGCCGCGCGTGATTCGCAGCGTTTGAGCAGTCCGTGCGAACAACAAATTGGCGACATGCATAATTTGGATTATGAAATTACATTCATCGTGAGTTTTAGTAGTAATCAGTGGATATGCCGCTCTAGTTCTTGCTTCACTCTAGCTTTCAATGTGTACTCATAGAAAGTTATCGCTATTGCAGGACATTAACATAAATAATTAGTTTTCGACGAAAATTCCACAAGCAAGACTATTTCCATAAGACTTGATTTGAGAGGCGCATTATGAAAAATTTCACGAGAATGTATATTTAAATGAGGCCGTATTCCGACCGCCTAGGATCTTAGGCCTGAATTGCGCTAGACTAAGAAATTTTCAAAATGCAACATGTATTAGAAAAAAGCGCTTTCTAATGATATAAATAATACCACACTAGAGACGGAAATCTCTGGGAACAACTGCTTCTTCTAATGCGGGGGATGAGTGGGAGGGTGGTTTTCGATCTTTTTTCTCAAGAGATTGTGCCACCAATTTTCATTGTTTTAGTATATTATCAAATTATTAAGAAACCCTTTTTCAATCATCAAAATCTACGCTCAGAGCCCGGCACAAGTCCGTTCCTGAGCTTTTTGAAAACGAAGTCTTCCTGATTTTCGGAAGTTTTACGAAGTCCTCTTTGAAAACTACCGACTTAGAGAAGATGAAAACAATAAAGGGTTACTAATCTGTAAGAAGAAACGTGAAATAAGAGTGAAAATCCGAAGTGGAGCCGAATACTACGCACGCACAGGAGTTTGGCACGCGCTATATCTAACAAAGCCATTCATGAAGAAATTAAGGCAAAAAAAAAACAAAGGCAATTGTATGAAAATGTCTTCATGCTCAGGGACAGATTTTTGACCGGGAAATCCGTCCATGCTGAGGAAATCCGAAACTTATGTGAATGGAGACGGCCTAATTTTGGAAAAGGTAATTCTTCGCACAAGCTTTCAAATCTTTTTGCATAATTCTTCCGCAAATTTCTATGTATGCGATTTAATTTTGGTGTCATATGATTTAGTGTGCGCTATAAACAAGCAATTTGTTTATTTTTAGCCCTGCTTTTGAATAGCGCACACTTTTCGCCGTACATGATAGAGCATGTCAATCGTGTAATAACCTGTTCAAGATTATGTTCGACTAAATGGCGCTTATCTTAGTGGTCGGCCCCTAGTTCTCAAAAACGATAGCCCCTTTCCTTTTTGCTCCAAAAACGAAGTCCAGCCTGCTTCCAGACGATATGTGCCGGGCCCTGTCTATGCTCGTCCCTTGCCATCGAATTGCAGTATGATTTCTTCAATGTGCTTTACCTTAAGAGAGTCCTGCAGATAAGCTGGCGTTTATCCCGCTGGCGTTCGAGTCAGACTTACACAGAAATCATTTTACTTGAGTTTATTTACACCACACTCCGCCTCACTGGAGGATCTGACTCCTCTCTTGTCAGTCCAAATACACGCGTTACGTCACCGCAGTTTGAGATCCAGATACATCAACGAGCATATCTGCTCCTTCCGCCATCATATGTAGCTATTTGGACAAAATCTCTCGTTACCCAGAATTTCCCCTTACGTGACCATATTCGTTGCGCTGATCCCAAGATGCACTTTGAGAAGCGCAAAAGGCAAATACGGGGTTTTTGCAAAATCAACCTTATACAACATTGACGAGTGGGTGTAAAGCACGTTTATACATTGAAATGACCATGCGAATTTGTAGCTGTTTGCTTATTGGTTGACTTTTACGGACTCTCCAACAATTCTCACAAGGGAAGCTACCTAACTTAGCTTGACCTTTTGGCAAGAGACATTTATATTCTGGATCAGCTTCAAACGCTGATTCCAAATATGCTATTTCTAGCTGCCATGCACCATTCCGAAACGAGTTATGGGCTTTTTCCCGCGCAAAATTGGCATGCTCATCGACTCACGGGCATCACGTCATCATCACTCAAGTGCTGGTACACCTGCGTTAAGCTTTTTATAGTGAGAAAAAATTGGATTTGTGCTATTTCGATACCTCGGCACCTTTTTCTTGCAGATTTTTATCTACAGGCATTATTCTCATGTTCAGTAGTATGCCAATAGGAATAAGCGTAGGAATAAGCCCATAAATCGCTTAGGAATAGCGCGTGGCAGCTAGAAATAGCATATTTGGAATCAGCGTTTGAAGCTGATTCAGAATTTATATGCCTTTTACCAAAAGGCCGAGCTAAGTTAGGTAGCTTTCCTTCTCACATGAAGCCGCGCACACTGACTTTGTACACCTACTGTAGCGCTAAGAAAGTTGAAAAAGAGATGTAGGTTGGTTTTGAATAAAATTGAGTTTGTCTTAAAGCAGTAGTCATGTTGACGAAATTCAACTTTGACACATCCTTAGTGTCATGTAATGTATGCTTAAGTTAGAGACACAGAGTCGCTGCGGAACGCTGCTAGCGTGCCCAATAACTTGAGAAGAGAAGTGCACAGTGAGCTGGCCTATGGCAGTTATCGCAGCTTTCGAGCAGATTACGTCTTCACATTATGTCTTCGCTCTTGTTCTATTGTGTGGCCAAAGCTTCCACTTGTGGATAGCATTGAAACTAGATTTTCCAGACTTGACGTGCCATCGCCCATAACGCTAGAAGCTAATTGTCTGCCTCACTTTGTGAAGGACAATCGCCATGGGCTCTGGCTCTGCAAATCTTATGTATAAAGCTGAATGTCTGTTTGTCTGTCTGTCTGTCTGTCTGTATGTATGTATGTATGTATGTATGTACGTATGTTCCGAATAGAAAATTCCATTTCTGAACCGATCCGGACCAAACTTGGCACACATACACTTCGGGCCCCGGCGGGTGTCATAGGCTACTTTTCGTCATCGATCGATATCGATTTTATCGATTTTTTGCAAAATTTGAGCTACGGGGCTGGGAGTTGGCACGGGGGGGGGGGGGTAATCGAGCATGCTGGTTACAAATATAATAATGACAGGGGCGGGCGGAGCCGGGTAAGTCAACTAGTAACTTGTATAATACAAGTAACAGTTTGCGACGTATGCATGACACATAGGCCAGCTGAAGACGCAGGTAGTCTATGCGGCGTAATTTTTCGTATTGGACGCAAAGTTGAAATTTATTCCCAGCTGAAGCGGTGGATAAAAGCTTGACGTTATGAATGCATTTCTGAGTTATTTATGACGATGTGCATCTTCTTATTGTCTATTATTTTGCAGACTCTCGAAACTGTTTTGGCTTGTTAATGTCTTGGAACTTTTCCACAGCTTTTACAGCATTTCAGCTACTCTTCCAAACGTCCTTCACCAGCAAGTCTTCGGGTCTAAATGTGAAATTTCAGATTATGATGTCAAGCAAGCTTTTACTGACCGTATTCCTCGTGCTTGCTCTTGCTTACACCGCAAGCGCCCAATGGGGTAAGTGATATCTCTGCTCACAATTTTGTTACACCGTAAACACTTACATTTCTAGGTTGGGGCGGTTACGGAGGCTATGGTATGTACAGACCATACGGCATGGGTTACGGTATGGGCATGTATCCTGGTATGAGTATGTACGGCATGGGAATGAGACCCTGGGGAATGGGAATGTGGGGCAAGAAGTAAGAAGACGCCAAGCAACTGTACATATGGCTTGATGATTTTACGGCTGTCTCGATGACGTGATATTTCCGATGTGTAGCGATAATAACAATAATAATGTGGATTTCTGTAAATGGATTGTGCCTTACAATGTGTGTGAAAAATATAATTAATTATTGATTAATTAATAATTAATTATTGCCGGAAATTTTGAACAGTTACGAAAAATGAGAAGTACCCATACTTAGGAGTGAGCTTGTGGCTGAATCTGTAATCCAGAAGGTTTTGGAGCAAAAGCTTTCATCCGCATATTGAACTTACACACGACTGCAAAGATCTTGAACAGGTTGGTTTTTGTTATTACTGTCTTGTCCCGGGAAAAGCGGATACATACTGATAAGATTCCACTCTTATTGTTGGATCAGTTTTATTAAGCTAAGGTCAGCTGTTTTCTTTAGCTACTGGTTATCCAGTAGAAGGTTTAATCTTTTCCAAATTGTAAGGGATACTGACCAATTTTACTAGAATCCAGTCTTCTATTCTCAATGCTATAGCACTATAGAATAGTTATTCCATCCTACCGGAGGTAGTGCAGTTCTCAGATTACATTGTTTTTTCCCAGGATGCTGGCATGAGGCCGGGCTGTAACGTTCTCTAGATTGCATATAGTGCTTCATTACAAAAAGAAATGTTACTTATCCTAAGGACACGAAAAAATTTAGCAACAGCAAAACGTGGATGGCTGACTTTTCTCAATCATCCCTGAACAAAGAGATGAATTTTGAGGATTGTTGGCGTAGTGATTCTTACCGACAAGCAATCGCTTGATCGTAGCTCAAACCGCAGCTAAGACCTCGTGCCTTTCCCAAAATTTCCTACGAAACATCTCTCACGTGCCTATTCTGTCGGAATTATGGAATTAGGTACCAGGGTGATCGGGAAGTAATGAGACATTTCGACTTTTTTTTGCAAATTCGATTAATTTTTTTCTGATAAACAATAAACAACCGGCAATAATGATGCAATTGTATAAAGTGATTTTCGCATGTCATCCTGGCAGTGTCTTGCAGCGCATTTCTTACAAACCTTCGTGCGTCGCTTCAAAGAATACAGACAGACTTTTTATGAACGCCATTCGAATTTGTACTGCAGTACCTTAAAGTGGGCATATGATATACCATTCGAAAGTGCTTTCCAAGCTCTTGCTAATAATCTAAACTTGCACAAATTGTATATCATTTTGTATGAAAGAGAGGCAAATTACCCGTAAAAGTGCAATATTTAGCAGATTTTCAGACTAGAAAACGTGTTTGTCCCACAATTCTTTGAGAGCAAGGTTTTCTCGAGGTAAATCGCATACATATTGATAGAGCATAAACTGCTCTATTAGACGCCATTCGTTCAAAGGGGTGAGTCCATTCGATCACCTCTATGAGAGAATAAATATCATGTCACCTAATTTAATGCCATTTCTTCTTTGCAAGCGTTGGGACCAACAGACGCCATCGTGGATTTGGTGGCGGTCACCTTACCCAATGCAGCACACATATTTTTGGACCCTCACCTCGTTTTACTTCGGCGTTGCTGCTTCAAGATCCGAAAATTCTTGAAGTGACGAGCTTAAATTTTGAGCACTTATAGCACACGATGGCATCACGACGCCATGCCAAGGAGGTCTATCTATACACCTCCTTCAGTAGATTTTGATATGTGCTAACATCCCGAAACTTGGACATCCAAGTTATTTTTCTGTTCAACAAGACTACATTTATTCTCTAGGTGTCTCATTAATTTCCCTTCACACTAATAGAAATAGTTTTCAAGCAACGCTGTATGACATCACGAAAGCCTCTTAGATTACCTTCGGCAGATTTTCTCACTTGCAGCGCTCCGGCATCCAACAATCACCTACTTCACTGTCGTTGCGGCAGATGATTTGTTGGATGCCGAAGATCAGTTATGCTGTAACATACCGTTATCATGAAGTAAGTGTTTTGAAGTTAATGACGGATTTTGCAGGCCAACAAAAGTAAATGAAGCGAAAAATGACAGCTGTCGGTGTAAATTTCCGCACAGAAGAACTTACCATGTATACATATATGCAGTTGATAAATAGCAACTAAGTCTCGTGCTCTCCAACAGAACGATGCACAGAGAGTTCAAGAAATTAGACAGACAGGAAGAAACATATAGATGAGACCGCAAGATTATAGAACACAGTTTTTTACGCGATTCTTGAAGGCTTTTGAAAGGCTACAAATTGTTTACTGTTCCTGATCTTTTCAGTGCACAAACTGAACACTGAAAAGATTAGAAACAGTAAATTTGTCGCTTTATTCGAACAATGATCCCAACTCCACCCTTCACGGAATACGGAAGTGAAAGCGAAATCAAAGAACGATAAGAAGTTTGGGCACATAACAAATGTTTTGGATTGTGGGTAATCAATCAAGTTGATTTATCGTGAAACTCTTCAATCAGTCTCTGGTCCAATGATAAAACTTAAAGAGGGTTCAACAAGTACTGGCACGATTTAGCGTGAATACTCTGCCATCAAATTTTGCAGTTCTGACTTGACGCAGCAGTAGCTTATCTACTTTCCTATTGTGTGACAGTCATTACGATTCGCGCGTCGCTACTCGCGCGTCACACCTGTGCACATCGTTCCTTTCGGAAGGACAGTGCCGTGATGTTCTACCTTCCTGTGTTTCCCTAGCGGACTTGACATGCTTTCCTGGGGAGATGTGAACTGGGCTAAACTTCTTACTACAAACGGTCTCCTAGACAATAACAATGGAAGTCGTCGAAAACATATAGAAAAATCTCCACTTCGTTCTTCCCAAGAAGCAAGCAACACTGTTAGGCTCGATTTCGAAGAGCAATCAATTTCAAGCAAGCAATCAATCGTTTAAGTAGTATGAACCAATGCCATAATTCCTATTAGGCTCCGTAATTATCGTGAGAGGGTGCACGTGCTAGCTTTGGCTTCTTGGTGCCGCACCCAGCTGCTAGCTGACCCATGCCTCAGCTGAGCTAAGGGTGCGGTCGCCACTCAGAACCTCTCGCCGAAATATTTTCACGCCAGCCTCGCTGAGGTGCGAAATTTGCCTCCGCAAATGCGCACTATTGCCGTAGGGACGCACATCAAGTTCATGACTAACACGTAATACCAAGAAAGTGAAAATAAAATACATTATGAAAAATTGCATTACAATGGCAAACAGGGCCCGGCACAGCTGGGACTGGATCGAGGTGGATATCTTTTCTGAGAAATGCAAAGATGACATTGTTTTTGCGGGTTTAAAAGCGGAGGAGCCACCAGCATGTCGCGGGAAGTGCAGCCTTTATGCCGCTGCATGCCGACAACAAGCTTTACCTGAAACAAAAAAGGCGCTGTTTACAGCAAAACGCATTGGTATAACACCAAGTTTGGTGCGTACGGGCGCGTGAGGGAGTCAAATTATGGCTCAAAAATTCCTGAAAACTTATTCAAATGAAAGCCGTGCTTAAATGCAACGTCCACTCAGATTTTTTTGTCGTTTCAGGGTCTTCTGGTACCGAATACGAAGTCGAAAATAGGCAAAAACCCCGACAATTTCGTTCCGAGAAACAGGCCGACTTTTCAGAATGGGGATGGGAGCACACGGAGGGGCGGGCATGGGTGCACAGGCGGTGCCGTCTGGGTGTCCTCGTGCATCTTCGTTATTTCAGAGAGATTTTTTCGCTTCTAAAGCGACATTGTGCGCCGCGACTTGGGCATTGGCTTGATACGGGGCCCTACAATCATGTGCTGCCAGAAGCTCAAAACCCTCAAGTTAAAGCGGAAAGTGCCTTCAACCTTCTCAGCTGAGATAGAACCGATGCTTGTCCTCACATAATTTTTCGTACTTTCTTACATATTCTGCACCTTCACCGTGAAAAAAAATTATACGAGCAATAACGATTTCATAATCTTTCCTCTAGATGTTTTATAGCCATCAAAAAATTCTCATTGGCCGCGCAACCTACTCCTATCGCAAGGCCGCCTTAAACAAATCAAGTTCGGTGTTTTCTTACTTTTCTGTTTCCCTTTCTCTTTTTATTTTTTTCTTGTTATACATTTTTGTTGTCATTCCCAGGCGAGGGGGAGGGGGAGGTGGGTGAGGTAAGAAAAGGAAGGGGGATGAAGTCGAAAGTGAGTGTGAGAGATGTGGAGTGGGAGGGGCAAGTGCTGGACTGGTCAGTTTCATGCTCTCACCATGGAGTAAAACGGTTTGAGCGGTAGAAGAGGAGACACCCATATAGCACTATAGGGTGAGCGATACAAGCAAAGATGACAAGTGAGAAGTAGTGAGGGGACTGGGGTCGCAAAAGGTCGGGGGACTTAATAAGAATTTTTTGATTGTATCAACTTTGTTTCGAAACGCCCAAGTTTCAGTTGGTGTCGAGCTTTGATGGCAATTTACAATTGAACATATTCGATAATCACTGCAACCATCTCATGGTCTTTTCTGTAACAAATGGTGACTTCATTGTAAAGAAAGTAACTATGGAAGCAGCAGTAATGTAAGTGCCGGCTTGATAACCTTTTTTATGCTTGAACTTGTATGTGAAATGTATTTCGACGTAGTCCCTCTTCGCAGTGGTTTCAGGCTTCTTGAATGCTGAAAAAACTCAAGATGTTTTGGACTAATATAAACACTTTACAACAAGGAGATTCGCTACAACCGTATCCTCTGAAAGTATCCAATCAACTCTTTGGAAAAAAGGGCGTACTCCCTCCTAGCATCCTCGTGATCGAGAAAATCAAGGTTTACTTTATAAGAGTTTAAAAGGATTGGTGCTTATAGAATGCCATAGCTATTATAGTCAATCTCGACTCTGCACTGTAATCTACAGTCGAGTAGATTTAGCGGTAAATATAGTGTGCTTGCACAGAAGGTGAAATGCGGTAATATTGGCGCGTGAAGAAATAGTTTCGACTGTGACGCCGGCCAATTGCGCGCGCAAGATACCCGCGGTACTGACGTGGCTACTTGTTCACGCGCAAATTTCACCGCATTTCACCTTCTGTGCAAGCACACTATATTTACCGCTAAATCTACTCGACTGTACTTGTACCTCACGTCGTTGTAACATTTAAATCGCCGGTAGGGTTAAGAGATTTTATTCCTTGA